CAGTAAGGTCGTCGTCGCTGTGAGACAAACCCTAGGCAGATCTGTAGTCCGTCACCGTAATCAATCGTTGACGTCTCCATCCTCAGCAATTTCGTCATGGTCTGGTGCAAGACTGCCATCACCGGCGTCCAATGCAAGGTCGTGGTCGTTGTCTGCTGCAAATTCGTCGTCCTCAATCGGGTCTCCGTCGCTCTCAGCCACGCCGCCGTCTTCCTTCAGCCAGTCCGCCATCTTCCTTCAGCCAGTTCGCCTCCACTTTCATAAAAAAAACCTAGTGCAGAGAAAGGATATAGAAGAGAGATGGGCAATTCGACGGGTGGGAAAGGAAGGGTTAAGTGCATGGGTGTTTTTGTCTTCCAATTCTATATTACTCACTTTTGTGTCCAATCTCAATTCTATATTTTTGTCTTTGTAAAGTCCTACGGTATTATTTATGCCATTCTTTCTTATTAATTACTACGTATTAATTAATAAAGGAGGTTTAAGCTGCAACGACATTTCATGTAGAATAACTACTTTGAAGAAACATTTGATGCCATCAGTTGCCAATGGAAGAGTTGTTGGCGTTGTGGAGTGGTATGCATTAGGTTTGGGGTTCGAATCCTCTTTCGCACAAAATTTTCTCTTTAGAAGCGGGTTTTGCCGGATTATCCGGGTTTCCCACTCCAGGCTGGGCGCGTGTTTCGGCCGGGCCATCCAAGTAATTCCGGTTTTAAGCATTTAGTAGCGGCTGTGAGTACAACCAGACTGGATTTGTTGCTGGTTCACCGGGTTTCGGGCTTCTCGAGCTCCCATTTGTCAAAACTCAATTTTTGCAAACGTCTTCACTGTTTTGGACATAACTTTTTACGCGGTGGTCAGACTTAAGCTGTTAATACCTTTTCGGAAATTGGAAGAAGAGATCTACATGACTCCCTGGACATCGGGATCTTAGCATAGATCCATTGGAGTATTTTAATTATATACTAATAAAAAATGGAAACGTCAATCCTAGTGACTATCTTTCTATCCGGTTTACTTGTTAGTTTTGATGAATAGACCAGACCCTCAAACACTATTCATGGATTAACGAAAATGCGCAAAGGCTCTATTTGACTCTGTCATTCTATGAGTCTCTTCCTTTTTTGGATTTTTATTTATTCCATCTCTACTACAGAACCAGATGTGAGAGTTTCTTCTCATCTAGCTCCACACAAATTACGAATAAAGGCTTTACAAAATGAGCTCAAAACAGTATATTTGTGAAGAATGTGGAGATTATTTGCAACTGAGGGGACTTCAGATCGAATTGATTTTTTGATCGATGAGCGAACATGGACTCTTAAGATAGATGCAGTCCCCGAGTACCCCGACTAAATCTCCCGCGCTGTCACTCTCCCTCATTGTTTAAGATTTCTTTTATTTTCTGAGAAACATTGTGAATCACCAAGGTCAAGGTCAAAACAGAGCTCAGTTCTCCCAAATTCAAACCAAAGGTCAAAGCTTGTCTAAAATACACTCCCAAGGTCCAGAAAATTGCATATAATTCAATCAACAATGGATGCCTCCTCTAGCTCATCAACGATGTGTAATTACCAATGTGCTGAAATGTCAACTGATGAGCTCAATGTAAGTACTCCTTATTCGAATTTCATTGATCATATACGTTCTTCACAAGATAAAACCTCTTACTTGAGTGATGAACGTATAACTATTAAGGAATTAGAATCTCATCTCGCCAATAATGAAAGTGTTCTTAGAAAAGACTTGATCGAAAAATATTTTTTCAGTTTTCACGGTTCGTTTAACCAATTTATAGAATAAGAGCACCAAGCTTAGTTTAAATTAGAACACTTGGAAACACGACTATGTGACTTAACTAAACAATTGAAAACTTCTCAAATTAAACACATCACAATAACAACCAATTGTGAACATCTTCAAACTCAACGTTGCAAAATTATATTCTAAGATTAAGGAGATCTAAGTGGATCAAGAAGGACCATGCAGGTGCGGGAATCAAGGCCAAAACAGTCTGAATAGCCTTCATCTACACTATATACTGGATTTGGAGAGTGCGGAATGCAACTATATTTGATGATTCCCAAGCTCATGAGGAGGATGTTTTTGCTAGGATCCAATACATGGTGTATAAGATCCTTTATAGTATTTACCCCCATGAACTTATTGCTTTTTGACTCTTAATGTGGTGAAGGGGTTCACCACCCCTATATTGTGTCTTTTTTGGGCGTGATTGTATAGCGCTTAGGTTACGTTATATCCCATGTTGGGATAGCCCCATTTTTGCTCCCCCTTTTTCTGCTTTACTTGTACATAAATTCTTTTGGTTGATTTATATAATTACCCTTTACCAAAAAAAATATATATTCTAAGATTAAGGAGTTGGAGGACTTACTTTCTAAGAGAGGTCAAACAGATCAAACCATTTTGTTAAATGAGCCAAAAGACACCACTTTCTACAATCAAATGTCAAATTTGATAATTCGTTGTGAGCTCTTTATTGTCTATGGTGTATTTTTGGACATATTCGACTTCCAATAAACAAGTCTATCGGCCAAGAATTTTTAGTGCCGTATGATAATAGTATATTATTCACATTATAAAGTTGGAATAATATAGTATTCACTTTATAAAGTTGGAATAAAGTGAAAAATTATTCTAACATATTATTGGAATAGAAATTTGCACTAAATGAGATTAAAACATTGAAGTATTACACAAACAGAACTCCATATTTTATCTTCCCCGAATAGGAGTACTATGGGAATCAGATGTCTAGAAAGAAGGGGTTGGATGTAAACGATTCTTCCTTGAACATTTAGGTTCAACAAATTTATTTTCGTTCAAGCTTGATTTAGCCCTTTAAACAAATAATGCTTCTTTAATGAAAATTGATTGAATTTAGAAGATTTTAGCTCTTTTTTGGTTGAGTACGCATGCCGAACACAACCACTATTGTGTTGAAAATAATAACAGAATTATGAACCTGAAATGGAGAAACTATATTAAGTATAATTTGATAGATTTAACCAAGTCAGCCAGCATTTCATCAATTTTGACAGATTAAGTCGATTCAATCAATTTCAATGTTACAAAATAGAGTAAGACTTATTTTCATTTGTTCCAAAATCTACATACACACATTTTTATATGTTAAAAACACAATATTTATAAAATAATAAAAGTATGAATTCCACCTACAGTGTAATTTTCTTAATTGCCTCTAATTTAATTAAAAAGATCCTTTAACACACAATATATATGTCCATTACGAAAAAGGTTAATCAAGAGTCATAAGCTTTTGCCACATGTCATTCCTTCAAACATTTGCCACGTGTCACTCTTACAAACACCCATTCAGTCTCACGCTCCATCAATATTACTTCTACTCCACATAAATGGTAATAATATAAATTAGTGTACATTATTATTAATTGGTAGTAAAAACTTACCATGTATATATAAAATGGTTTCTATAAATATTCTAGAGAACTATATCTATATCTATATCTATTTATATATTATACATTCAAGAGTCTGAAGAGTCATATTGGTGGAACTTTTTGCCACATGTCAATCCTTAACACATTTACCACGTGTCACTCTTATAAACACCCATTCACTCTTATGCTCCATCAATATTACTTTTACTCCACATAAATGGTAATAATATAAATTATTGTATATAATTACTAATTGGTAGCAAAAAACTTACCATGTAGAGACAATTTGGTTTCTATAAATATTCTAGAAATCACAACCATTCAATCACCCGTGATTCATGTTACTTTAGACTCCATATAATTGGTAATAAAATAAAGTAACATTAGAAAATTTAATATAAACTACTATTTGTACTAAAAATCTTAGCATGTACATATAGATTCGTTTCTAAATTTTAAAAATTACAATCAATGACACAAAACCACTTTTCTCAATAAATGTGTCACTCCCTTCCGTCCCAATATCAGTGGGACGGAGGTAATACTATTTTGTAGTGGTTAAAATCACATTTAGAAAGCTTTTGCATTGTGTTTACTTAGCTTTTGTACAATTACAGTGTAATCTTTACTTAACTCTTTGCTAGACTGGTGTGCAAGCTCTCGGCCGTTTGGGCTTTTAGGCATGCTTTAGACCAGACTGGTAGATAGGCTCCCGACTAGATTGGTAAGCAAGCTCTCAACTAGAGTGATAGGCCGGCCGGGAAAACAGTAGGGCTGAGACCGGTTCGGTTCCTATAAGAAATTAGATGAACCGTTACAAAAAATTTAACTAATCAAATCTGTTCGGTTCTTATCTAAAAATTCAAGAACCATTATAGAACCGAACCAATAGTAAACGGTTCGGTTCTTACTTTTATCGGTTCCTAAACATAATTTTTTGCATAAAAAAAATTAACACATGCAACTTACTTTCTACAACGCAAAAACGTCAAAAATTCAAAGCACAAGCAATAAGTACTTTTTGAAGCTCTTATAAGTTCAAGTATCAAGTCCAAACTTAATTAATTCAACACTTAATAGAAAGAAAGAATTTTAAAAATATAGTATTAATAACAAAGTCATAGTATTTATTAAATTATAGTATTAATAACAAAGTCATAGTTTTATTTATAATGCAAACATAAATATAATAAAAATATTTATAAATTTGTCATAAAATGCATGAGTCGAATAAAATTAAATAGAAATAAAAAATTAGAAAATAAAAAAGGTAAAAAATTAAAAAAAAATAATAAAACACCTAATATGTATGTCTCTGTCACTTCATTTTCCACCTCACAACATGTCATATCCGATCGAAAAAATGTCATCTTACATTAACATGTCATCTTTCTATGAAAAAATCATAAAGATGACTCTTTACTATTTAACAATATCAAATTTTGCTTTACAATATGCCATTACAACGACATTTGTTTTTGCATATTGGCATTTTCTTTGGCTGAGGCCTATTTTTTTATTTTTATTTTTCATTGGAATAACTTTAATTTAGGGATCAGAAAAGGCCTATTAATTAATTAATTAAAGTATGATAAGAGAAAGGAAAGATTAAAAAAAAAAGCTGCTGGAATCCATACTTTTAGAGAAAGGAAAGATAAGGAAGAATTGATACTTGTCATTACAATTGCCGGAATCCACTGGAGCATCTATAAAAAGCTGCTACATAATTGCCGGAACCAGTCCGTCCTCTGATTTCGGTAAACCCCAATTCAATTCCAATTTCTACAATTCGTCTTCGGAATCGAATCACATCACTCCGTCTTACACTGCTGCAGCAAATGAGAGTGGAAGATTTTCCAGACCGTGCATGCAACGACGCCGTCTTACCGATGCCCGGAGTGCCGGAGACGCCGCCGCAGACCGTGGAACTGCACAGAGTTTGTGTGCCCCCGCACAGGACAACCGCCCGGAAACTAAGGCAGAGATTGGGAGATATCTTCTTCCCCGACGATCCTCTCCACAGGTTCAAAGGCCAAACGAGGGTTAAGAAACTGCTTTTGAGTCTCCAGTTTTTCTTCCCGGTTCTGGAGTGGGGCCCGAATTATAATCTCCGGCTTCTGCGTGCTGATGTCGTAGCCGGCCTCACAATTGCCAGCCTTGCCATCCCTCAAGGCATCAGTTATGCAAAACTTGCAAATTTGCCACCTATCATCGGACTCTGTAAGTATATATAAGCACTCGAGTTGTTATTGCTCGATCTTAATTCTCAATGCCTGCCTTTCTTCCTTTTTTGGTTGGTTGGGCGCATGCAGATTCCAGTTTCGTCCCGCCGCTGGTATACTCTGTTCTCGGGAGTTCTAGGCATCTGGCCGTGGGGCCGGTGTCCATAGCCTCTCTTGTCATGGGCACAATGCTTAGTGAGGCACTTCCATATGGTGAAGACCACCATGTTCTCTACCTTAAATTGGCTTTCACGTCCACATTTGTTGCTGGAATATTTCAAGCTTCTTTGGGCTTCTTCAGGTTTTTTCTTATTCCTTAAATCTTTCTTATATGTATAGACGGTCTTTGTAGCAAATTACAGATCTTGCATCCCCTACGCTTGAAGGTGGCCTTCCAAGCATGTTTTAGAGCGCTACCTCGAAAAGTTGATGGAATTCCACCACCATATGTGTCTTACTTTTAGGAGTGTTTTCCTTTAGCTTAGCAACAGAGTGGTTTTTTTTGCAGGTTGGGATTCCTTATAGATTTTCTATCAAAGCCCACTCTTTTGGGGTTCATGTCCGGAGCTGCGGTCATTGTTTCTTTGCAACAATTGAAAGGCTTGCTTGGGATTGTCCATTTCACTAATAAGATGCAAATTATTCCTGTTTTGTCCTCAGTTTTCCATCGCACGGATGAGGTAATAATATGAAAACCAAAATTGAATTGGATGGATAAGCCTAGGCTGGACCCTGTGGTTTCATACTTACTTACATGTACTGGTCTAGTCTTTGATTCAAGTTTTTTGAAGTTTCCGATTCCGGTCTAGACTCGTCCAAACCCATAATATGTAGGTCCAAACGGATGGGCTTAAATTAATTCATATAATTATTTTTAAATATATTTTCCATCTAAAATGTATTACTCCCTCCGTCCCACTATAATTGTCCCACTATAATTGTCCCATTTCCTTTTCCTTCCCACTAAATTTGTCCCATATCATATTTGGTAATATTTGTGTGGCTCTAATTCATTCTTACTTTATTCTCACTTTATTATTTCATTATCAATCACATAACTCTAGTTTTCTTAAAATTGCACCACTCTCATTTGTCCTAATCTTAGGGGGACGGAGGTAGTAGTATGTAACAATTATTAAAAATTATTTTTGATTTAGTTTTATTTGAATTTTTATTCAAAAAAGTTCTATGTTTAAAAAAACTAATAGCCATCCAAGGTTTTCACTATCGTAAGGCGTAGTGTAAAAAAGTCTTAATGTGTAAAATAAAAATTAATCTCAGTCGTCCAAAAAGTCAATATGATGCATAATAATTCTTATCTGATGCACTTTTCCAAATGGAGGCGTTCTAGACGGCAGTCCCGATCAGGAAGTCCTGATAGGAGGTTACTATATATATAGCATTATTTCACCAAGTGTACAATTCAGTTTCACAGGACACAATCCAACGGTCTAGATTCGTTCTCATTTTCTCCTAGAAGTCCTTTCTTACCGGACCCACTCTAGGGATGAGTTCAAATGAGAAGACATCTTAACGTGTAAAATGAGAATTAATCTCAGCCGTCCAAAGTGTCGATCTGATGCACAATAACCCCTATCTGATGCACTTTCGAATAGACCTTATTTGATGCACTTTTCGGAAAGTGCATCAGATAAGGGTTATTGTGCATCAGATCGACACTTTGGAAGGCTGAGATTAATTCTCATTTTACACGTTAAAACTTTTTTTTATTTGATCCAAATTATATATATATATATACGCACACAAAAAAAAACCCTATCCAGCCATCATCGCCGTCCGTTCGCCGCCCGGCCGCCGCCATTTGAGGTGGTTCCCGGTTGAATTTTTTGATGAAGTTTTGTAAAAATGTGCTTCCTGTAGTGTAGATTATGTCACAAAATTTCAGCTCAAAATTCAATCAGGAAGTCAGTTAATTAAGTTATTGAAAAACACTGATTTATTTTGGCACAATGTTTTTCAATAACTTATTGAACTGACTTTCTGATTGAATTTGAAGCTGAAATTTGTGGACATAATCTATTATTCATGATAATCATGCTCACAAGTTTTCATCAAAAAAATCACCGAGAACCATCTCAAATGGCAGCGGCGATTTGAACGCAATGGCGGGACGGAGGTTCTGTCTGGACAAGATCATTCCTCTTTATATATAATTATAGGTTTGGATCAAATAAAATTGATTTTAATGTGAAAAATGAGAATGATTTTCGTGCAACGAGTTAAGGATCTAACGTCTCTAAAATTGACAACAATGCACCATATTGTATTTAAAACGCGGTGACATTTGTGTAAAAGTGCAATGTAATGAAGTGAAGTGAAATTTCGAATTTCTCATGTCACACTCTTCTTATTTGAACCCCACCCTATAGATATATATAGATGCACATATGTATAGGAAAATATCCATGTAAGATAGGCCTAAAAGTTACAATTTTAGGCCTCTTTTAGTTGAGGTGTTTCCGGGACTAATTTTTTGAAGAAATTTTGTGAGCATGTTCTCCATGAACTGTATATTATGTCTATCAAAGTTTAGCTTAAAATTTGATCGAGAAGCCAATTAAATAAATTTTTGAAAATCGTTCAGTTTTTTGTACATAAAACATGCAATTTTTTTCAATAATTTATTTAATTGACTTCCCGATTGAAATTTGGTGGACATAATCTACACTTCATAGAGAACATGCTCACAAAATTTCGTAAAAAAATTCGACCCGAAAGCACCTCAAATGAAAGAGGCCTAAAAATTGTAATTTCATATTCATATATTCATATATTCATATATACAAAATATATATATATATATACAATATTCTATTTAAATCAAACTTATACGTTTAAAAAAATCAACAAAGAATTAGGATATGTTTACTTTGCAGGTTATTAAACTTAAGACATGTGTTAGTAAGCGGTGCATAAAATAAGCTGTACCATAAGCACATGTCTATTTTTTTTTAAATACTCCAGGGGGGTCTAGGGGGGTCTGGGGGGACCTGGAGTAATCAGGGCTGAAACTCAGCCCATTAAGTTTCAAGCCCCTATGTGCCTAGCGGGTTTCGAACCCGAGACCTTAGCTAGATACGGTAACCTCCCATCCAGCGAGCTGGAATGCTTGGTTATAGGTCTTTGTGTTAATCTATTATTAATATACCACCAATACTCTTGTGGCTTGTTTAAATAGAACTACTTCATTCATTAAAATATTGTTAACTAGAATGTGAAGTTGATAATTTTTTCATGTATAATCTCCCAATCAGGCTCTTAACGTAACATCATCATCGTTTAGAATCACTAGTGCTACTTTTGATTGGAGCCAAGAAATTAGAGATAATGAAAGAAGAAATAGATGCAAAGTAGAAAATGTTGTTTGGCAGGATGCTTTTCTCATAATAGATGAAAAATACTGCAATTCAGGATCCACCTTTCCCATTTTTTTTCTTTTTTTCTCTATATCCTTTTTTTTCCTGTTGTACGGAACCAGAAAGAAGTTTATTTCTTCATTAAACCAGATAAGAGTCATGGAAGGATAATGATCCTTTGATTGAAGCCTTGGAGGAAAGTAACTTGTACTGGAAAATATATGCAAATGTTTTTTGAAGGATAAGTTGTTTATCTGTATGCTAATGTTGTACTAACAAATATGAAAAACATACCACTGTTAAAGGAGAATAGCTCTTCTGTTTTCAAAACGGGAATTCATTTTCCACAAAGGTTTAATGAATCAAAGTAAATATCTTCCTTCAGTGAAAATTTGCCAGAAAATGTTTTCCCTTGCCAACACTGGAAAGTCGTATTTTGTTCAAGTCACACCCTCAAGAAGTTCAATCAGTTTGGCCAAATTTGACCCTCACAAAATGGACTGTGGATATAACTACGTAGAGAAGTCTAGTTGAGAGTCAGAACCATATGTACGGACGACCATAATGCAAACTAATTCTGATGTTGATGTTTTGCGTTCAGTGGTCTTGGCAAACTATTGTGATAGGAATGCTTTTCCTCATACTCATGTTGACAGCGAGGCAATTTGTGAGTAAGCTATTCTCAATTAAATTCCTCATGAAACAACCAAATCTGCAGTTTTAATTGAGTGCAGTTTGTTCACTAGTTTTTGCCTGTTTTGTTCTGACTTATGGATTTCCTCATGTTTTTACTCCCAACGCAGAGCATTTGGAAACCAAAATTCTTTTGGATTTCAGCGGCAGCACCACTGACATCAGTCATTTTGTCGACTGTCATAGTCGCACTTCTTGGGGCTAAGGCTCACGAAATTGCTACTGTAAGTAATACTGCATTTGCACTATTAGATATACTAAGGTGGTTTATATTGTGATTGGGTAGGGAGGAGAAACATGAGTGGAAGTAGGTTGGTGAGAAAATAAAAAGAGAGAAATAGGTGATAAGAAGAGTTGTTTATATGAAGTGAAATATACTCATGAAAGAGAGCAATACTTGAACTAAAGTTGTTTGGTATTAGGAAGATTGTACTAAGTCCAAATATTGTAAATAGCCTAGTCTTTGTACCGAATACACGGTTAAGTGGTTAGCAGTTTGTTAGAGTCAACTGATCAGTCTGTTGATCAGTTTGTTAAACTCATTAGTCTATAAATACTTGTATCATTCCCTTAATTGAATAAGATTGATTTTTCCTATTTCTATCATGGTATCAGAGCACTGACTCGTTCCTCCATGACGAACTCAGACTCGAATTCCGTTTCTTCCAAAACTTCTGGTAATACCCCAACTCCGATCACATTCAATCATCCCTTACCTATCAAGCTTGATTCAAACAATTTCCTCCTATGGAAACATCACGTTCGTTCTGTAATTCGTGCTCACAAGCTTCTTAAATTTGTTGAGAAGCCTGAGATTCCTGAGAAATTCATCGCCGGTGAGGAAGCAGGTACGAAAATCGAGAACGATGCCTACGCAACTTGGGAACAACAAGATCAGATGCTTTTTTCGTGGCTTTTGGCATCGCTCTCTGAATCTCTTCATACACGAGTCATTCACTGTCACCACTCATACCAACTATGGAATGAAATCGATAAATTCTTTCAGGCGAATATTGTTGCCAGAGCTAGACAGCTCAAATCTGAGCTCTACTCTACCGGGAAGGGTGATCGCTCGATCACAGAATATCTTCTTCGAATTCAGAATATTGTTGACAGCTTGATGAACATTGGTGAGCCTATATCAACCAAGGACCATATCAATGTTATCCTGGAAGGACTTCCGGAGGAGTATGAATCGCTTGTCTCTTCTGTGGCTTCTCGAAGCATCTTGGATCCAGTAACTCTTACAGAGCTTGAGTCGCTGTTACTGGCAAAGGAGTTACGACAAAAGAAGTTACGTGAATCTTCACAAACACTTTTTTCTGCTAATTTGGCTCGCGCGGAAGTTCCGACTCCAAACACTGAACCTGTTTCTTCACAAATTTCAGAAAATTCTTCTGCAAATATTGCTCAATTTCAAAATCAGATGTCTGCTCCTCCCTACAGGGGACGTGGTCGCGGAGGCATCACCAGAGGTCGTGGTGGCCGTTTTGGAGGTCGGAATTCTGTTTCTTGTCAAGTCTGTGGTAAATCTGGCCACAATGCCTTGAATTGTTATCACAGGTATAACCCTGCCTATGCTGCACCTACTCCCAACTATAACAATTCAAATTCTGCAACCTTTAACCCTTGGAACCAACACTCATCATCCTCAAACTATACTAATTACCCTTATCCGCCACCTGCTTACCCAAATCCAACTCAATTTCACTACCCTAATTACCCTCAGTTTTCTCAGCAAACTGCACACTCAAATCCTCCAAATCATTGGAATCTTCAACCTTCTCACTCCAGATTTAACAACTCTACTCCAGAAGCTCTCAACTGGAATATGCAGTCTACAAACCCTACACCAACTGCAGCTGTTGCTACTGCTCATTCATCCATCCTTGGACCAGGACCATCATCTCAAACCTGGTTTCCTGACTCTGGAGCAACGCATCATGTGACCTCAGACCCTTTAAACCTTCAGCACAGTGAGCCGTTTGCAACAACTGATAAGCTTTTTATGGGCAATGGCCAAGGTTTGGAAATAAAGTCCATTGGACACTCTTCCTTTTCCTCACCTTTTCACTCCTCTCAATACCTTGCTTTAAACAATATTCTTCATGTCCCATCTATCACCAAAAACCTTTTGAGTGTTAGTCAATTTGCAAAAGACAACAATGTATTCTTTGAATTCTATCCTCATGAGTGCTTTGTGAAATCACAGGTTTCTAAACAGGTTCTATTACATGGCACTCTTGGTGAAGATGGTCTGTACAAGTTTCAAAAGTTTTCAGTCCTCAGTTCTCCTCAGTCCAGTCCTATTACTCAATTTACAAATATGTCCTCCTATACTTCTACTTGTAATAAATCTCAATCATGTACTCCTTTAGTTGATTGTAATCTGTGGCATTTGAGGCTTGGTCACCCTCATCTTGAAGCACTCAAATCTGTACTCAAACATTGTAATGCTGAACCTATCAATAAATATAATGTTGAGTTTTGTCCTGCTTGTTGTTTAGGCAAAGCACATAGGTTGCCATCCCACACTTCTATTACTGAATACCATTCACCTTTTGAATTAGTGTTTACTGATCTTTGGGGTCCAGCTCCCATTTTATCTTTTGATGGCTACTCATATTATATTTCATTCATTGATGCTTGCACAAAGTATACTTGGATCTATTTTCTTAAAAAGAAATCAGATGCACTTACAGCTTTCCAAAATTTCTATCAATATGTGCTTAATCAGTTCTCTGTATCCATAAAATCCCTGCAATCTGATTGGGGAGGAGAATTTAGTTCTTTCACTCAGTTTCTAACACAAAAAGGCATCACACATAGACTGATTTGTCCACATACACACCACCAAAATGGTGTTGTAGAAAGGAAACATCGTACTATAGTTGAAAAAGGTTTATCTCTTCTTGCTCATTCTTCCTTACCATTCAAGTTTTGGGATTCTGCCTTTGCCACAGCAGTACATCTCATTAACAAAACTCCATCTAAATCCATTAATAACTTTAGTCCTCATTTCAAACTATTTGGATCACTACCTGACTACTTCTTTCTTAAAGTCTATGGTTGCTCATGTTATCCATTCATAAGACCATACAACAAGCACAAAATGGACTTTCATTCTGAAGAATGTGTCTTTCTAGGTTACTCCTCTCAACACAAGGGCTACAAATGCCTTTCTAAATCTGGAAAGGTTTATATATCCAAAGATGTCATCTTTCATGAGTCAAAGTTTCCATACTCCACTCTCTTCTCATCTACTAAATCACAGCCTATCACAACTTCATCCTATAACACTGCTCCTCTTACTGTTCTTCCACCAAATTTATCCTCCAGCTCCCATTCTCCTCCAACCAACTCACACTCCCATCAATCTCAGTCAACTGATTCCCAAAGTGTTTCTACCAGTTCATCAACACCTCTTTCAACTCACTTTAATCAATCCAATCAACCTGATCAATCCACTCAGCCTGATCTATCATCATCTTCTTCCACATCATCTTCACCATCCCCTTCTCCCATCACTAACACCCATCCCATGACTACAAGAGCTAAATCTGGAATTGTGAAACCAAGACTACATCCAACCTTGCTATTGGCCCATACTGAGCCTAAATCAGTTAAGCAAGCACTTGCTTCTCCTGATTGGTTTGCAGCTATGAAGTCAGAATATGATGCCCTTCTCAATAACAACACCTGGACTCTAGTTCCCCTGCCACCAGCCAAACAGGCTGTAGGCTGCAAATGGGTATTCAGAATCAAGGAAAACCCAGATGGTTCATTAAACAAATATAAGGCAAGACTTGTTGCTAAGGGGTTTCACCAGAGGTATGGGTTTGACTTTGGAGAAACATTTTCTCCAGTTGTCAAACCAATAACTATCAGAATTTTACTTACTCTAGCTGTCTCTTGCAACTGGTCTATTCAACAGCTAGATGTAAATAATGCTTTTCTCAATGGGGATCTAGAAGAAGAGGTGTACATGACACAGCCCCCAGGTTTTCAGGTCCAAGATACTTCTCTAGTCTGTAAACTTCACAAGTCCCTTTATGGACTGAAACAAGCTCCCAGGGCTTGGTTTCAGAAATTGACTTCAGTTCTCTACAATGCTGGCTTTAAACAGAGTAAATGTGATCCTTCTCTGCTTATATTTGTATCTTCTAGAATACAAATATACCTTCTAATCTATGTTGATGACATTATAGTAATTGGAAACAATTCTGCTGCAATCCAGCAACTCATTCATAAGCTGAATTCCTCATTTTCTCTTAAACATCTTGGGGACATTGACTTCTTTCTAGGAATAGAAGTAAGGAAACTTCCTGATGGTAGTCTGCATCTATCTCAAGGCAAATATGTGAGAGATCTACTTAATCAAGTGGGCATGATAGACTCCAAAGGTGTGAAAACACCTATGATCAGCACCTGCAAACTCACTCATCAGGGCAGTGATCCTTTGCCAGACCCTTCTTTCTACAGATCTATTGTTGGAACACTACAATATGCCACCTTAACCAGACCAGAAATTAGTTATGCTGTTAACAAGGTGTGTCAGTTTATGGCCTCACCCTTGGAAGATCATTGGAAAGCTGTTAAACACATACTAAGATATCTCTCTGGAACTATAACACATGGCATCCTCATCAAACCTTTACCCTTAACCACCTCTTCCTTACCTATATTAGCCTTCTGTGATGCTGATTGGGCCTCTGACCCAACTGACAGAAGATCTACCTCTGGGTCCTGCATTTTTCGTGGCTCTAACATCATATCTTGGTGGTCCAAAAAGCAAGTACGTGTAGCCAGATCCTCAGCAGAAGCTGAGTACAGGAGTCTTGCAGACACGGCTGCAGAACTGCTATGGATCTAGTTTCTATTGAAAGAACTCCAAGTTTCATTTTCAACTCCCAGAATCTATTGTGACAACCTAAGCACAGTTCATCTTGCACACAATCCTGTGCTTCACTCAAGGATCAAACATATGGAAATAGATCTATTCTTTGTCAGGGAAAAAGTACAATCTAAACAGCTTGAAATCTATCACATTCCAGCCCCTCATCAGCTTGCTGACATACTGACTAAGCCATTATCTGCAGCTACATTTTTGGATCTAAAAACCAAACTTAGTGTGATTGACTTTCCAAATCAATCACCCTAATTTTGAGGGGGGGAATATTAGGAAGATTGTACTAAGTCCAAATATTGTAAATAGCCTAGTCTTTGTACCGAATACTCGGTTAAGTGGTTAGCAATTCGTTAGAGTCAACTGATCAGTCTGTTGATCAGTTTGTTAAACTCATTAGTCTATAAATACTTGTATCATTCCCTTAATTGAATAAGATTGATTTTCCCTATTTCTATCATTTGGTCTCTAGAAAAACTAATTCTAAAACAAATAAAAGCATGTTATGTGCATTTAATTTTAGATTAGAACCAAGTCAAATACTCCCTCCGTATTTAGTTGTTCTCTACATTAGGTTTGGGCACAAAGTTTTAGGATAAAATAGTAGGGGTAATGAATAGTGTAGAAAAAGTAGGAGAGAGTGTGTAAAAGTATGAAAGAGAAGATAAAAAGTGGAAAAAGTAAGGGGTAGTTGAGTATTTTTAAAGGAAAAAACTTACCAAAAAGGGAAAGTGTAGCAAACTTTTAAATACATCCCAAAAAGGAAAGTGTAGCAAACTTTAGAATACGGAGGAAGTAAGTTTTTCATTACCTTCATTTAGCACTGAAATATTTTGGCATGGGGCGTAACATGGCCCCAATATGTTTCAAATTTTCTACCATATTTCCATGGAAATATTTTTTCCCCATCATTTGCAATGGAGCCAAAGACCCACTACTTTTTGGCTTGGGAATATGATGGAGTAAAGCAAAATGACTCTCTAAACTGTCTGCGCTTCTTTGTTACGAAGGAGCAGTCAGTGAGTCAGTCCATTCAATTTTTGACGCGATTTTCATCATGGGTCACCCGAAAACAGTCTGTCTGTGCTTTAGTAGAGGGGTAAAACTACGTACATCCGACCCCCTTAACCCACCGTAGGTGGGAACCTTTGCGGCACTGGGATAATGTTTTTCCACCATTTTTCCTTCCATGAACCAAACATTTTCCATCATTCGCAATGGAGCCAAAGACTCATTATTTTTTGGCTTGGGAATATGATGGAATAAAGCAAAATGATTCACTAAACTGTATGTGTTTCTTTGTTATGAAGCAGTTGTCGGTCCATGCAATTTTTGACGTAATTTTCACTATGGGTCATCCGGAAGCAGTCTTTCTATGCTTTAGCCTTTAGTGCCGGGGTAAGACTGCGTACATCCGACCCCACCGTAGGTGGGAGCCTTTGCGGCATTGGGGTAATGATGATGATGATGATTTCCATGGAAATGCCTTGGACAATCCTAATTTTCCTTTATCTCCTCTTCATTTCTCCATCCCCTCTTTCCTACCAAATAGACACCGAGTTAGGATTTTTTTGACCTTTTATAAAAATGTTCCACCAAACACTTAACGCGACAACACTTTTAGGAGCCATAGCAATCCCAAAATGTTAAGCCGAACAACTTCTAGGATGAGGTACTAATGTTATTTATTTACTCTGCTGCAGATTGGTCATCTACCTAAGGGTCTGAATCCACCTTCATCAAAGATGCTATACTTTGGTGGTTCTTATCTGATTCTTGTTATCAAGACTGGCATTGTAACCGGTATCTTATCACTCACGGAAGGAATTGCAGTAGGAAGGACATTTGCTGCTTTGAAAAACTACCAAGTTGACGGGAACCAAGAAATGATGGCTATTGGTCTTATGAATATGGTCGGATCATGTTCTTCGTGCTATGTTACGACAGGTAAAAATGATAGATTCCAAAAATTGACTGTAAATTCAGTGTATTACTGTAGAACATCTGAGAATTACAACGGCAGAAAACAAAGGAAAACATAAAAGAAACGGGACTGGTTCGAGAGCATCCCCTATCCCAAGCAACTACCCAATTTCTGCCTACTTCTTATTTCTCCCTGCCCTTCTATTTATGCTACCAGTACAATTATTATTACCAATATTTTATTATTATCATTAGCCCGGTTCCTATCATATCTCCCTCCTTAGACAACCACCTTGTCCTCAAGGTGGGTGATAGGAAACAACCCTGACCATCATCTTCATCCTTGTGGCTCCCCCTTCACAGTACCTCCCCGTTTGCTGGGCCATGAGCTTAATTACTTGACCTTTCATCGTCACCTCTTTCACCCTTGGACTACCACTCCATCCCGGTAGTTCGTGCATCTCAATTTGGAGGTTTATCCTGGTATCAGGATCAAAAGAAACTTCACCAACAGAGTTAATGTCATCCATTGGTACATCCTTCAACAACAGTGTAGTGAGTGTAGTGAGAGTTGAGAGCTGTTCTCTCACTAAAATTCTTTCTAGGTTGCTCTACTACCCTCCGGCGCCGCCACTCGCGGTGGTCGCCGCCGCCGGAGCCCTCATGGAGTCATGGCTTCGGTGGGCTTCATGGCTTAGTTGGAAAACTGTTGTTTCGGCAGCTTGTTTGGGGTCCTGACTCAGCTGGTTCGCAGCTAGGAAGGAAATCCGGCAGCACCATGATAGTATGATACCTCCGTCATCTTCAACAGCCATGGACAAAGCTTTGAGGGATTGACCACGCTTGGAGGGTTTGGCAAGTACGGTGGCTGGAGATGGTGATTTGTGGTGGTCTGGCGCTAATGGAAGACCTGGATGGCTGTGTTCTTGGTGGTCTTGGCTGAAATTCCATGGCCTGAGAACAGGATGGCAAGTAAGTCTTGAGTTACTAGTTAATGCTTCTGTACAGGGTCTGGTGGTCTCGATTGCTGATTTACGCTTCAGGTACTTACCGTTGTGCTCCACCTTCACCTTTCCCTTTTCATTCACAACCAGGGTGAAAACCCTCCGGTGATTGTAGCTCTGCGGTCTTTGGACGGGATGCCGGAATGGTTGGGGAACTTCAAAGCGTCGGTGGATAAGTGGATGGAGACGCTTGTCATCGACTCTTTAAGCTCCCAGAATGTTTAGGACCCTGCTTGTCCTCTTCGCTGCAAATGAGGGCTCGCAGGTGACCATCTTCCACGGGTATTGGTGTCTTCCCTGGCAGTACCAGGGGAGGAAGGTCCTGGTACAGTTCTCTCACGCAGCCTTTACTTTGAACTGCTTCGTTACGGATCCCGGGTTGGGCCAAGACCGGGATTTGGAGTTTGCAGACACCGGCGACCAGTACCTGAAAACGAGAAAATATTTATTCCGGTATGGTGTTCTTGTTCGGCGACCTGGATGGAAGGAGAGCCTTTAATTTGAGATGAACTCTGTTAACCTTGTTTCTTCGCGCTGGACGATTTGATAGCCTTGAGGGTTGGGATCTCAGAGATGTCGTTGAAATATGGATCGGAGAAGATGATCGGAGCTTTGGAAGTTTTGGAGGTTGGTTACTTGGTTTCGTTTTTCCAGCTGCTGCTAAGACGCCATTCAGCTACCTTCTCACCTATGCTGCCGGGGTCACCGGGGCTCGACGGGGGTGGGGGCGGTGAGTGGGCTAACGGATTACAGTTTCTTCCGGTTGGGTGCGGTACCCTCATTTCCCGGCCACCGGACGGTCTGGTAGATGCCGGAACCATGATGGGGTGGGTGGGGGTGGGTGGGGGTGGGTGGGGGGCACGTCGTTACAGGCTGGATCGGCGCTGCATGCTGATTGGACGCCTGGTCACTTCGGCACTGTTCTTGGTTGACTTTCTTTTTGGATTCCCGCCCTTGGCTACGGCGCTCAACGTACGGATGCACTGGGCTAGGGTTTGGGCTGGAACTTTTGTAACCGTAGAGGCCTGGTGTGCTTGGATGGGTTGCTCGCGTGACTCCCTGGGTGGATTGGGCTTCAGATGGGCTGCTGCTTGGATGCGGGCTTGACCGCTGTGGAATTGTGCAGGAGGGGCGACATGCCTTAATTTGCCCTGGGCCCAGGCTTGCTTTTAGCTGTGTTTTTCTAGATGGATTGTGTTGGAGTTCTTTATCCTTGGATTTTTTGGATGCTGAGCCGGGGAAGCAGTCCCATGCCAGTTTATTTTTTTTGGGACCTACTGAAATCTCCTCTCCCCTCTGCCTTTCACTAGGTGGTGGGGGAAGGTTGGATACTATTTGTAGTTAGTATAGACTAGTTTAGATAGTTTTGATGCATTATATTTTGCTACTTTTCTGGATACATACATTTACATTTTATCCAAAAAATTCAACAGTGTCGGAATATATAGTGAACCAGCTACTAAACCTTCAAGCTGCTGTTGTGGTTTAGTCAACACTTGCCCAACATAAGATAAAATTCGAGAAACCAAAGGCTGGATGCAACTTGGAGCTGTTTTCATTGCCTCAACAACTTCTAGAGCATCAATACAAGAGTTTGTGAGGTGAAGTCCACACATTAAGAATGCTAGGAGAAAGAATGGACTCCACGGATGACAATAGTTCCGGACTGCCCTGACAGCACCCTGTAGTGTCACAAGCACCAGATGCACATTTTCCTCCAATAGGTTGGTGAGTGATGAAATTAAGTCTCTGATATGTGGCCACATGACTCCAGAATATGCATCAGTAAAAAGCTGTGAAAGTGCTCGACCACCAGATGCCCAAACAGCAATTCCATTTGGCCTACTTTTTTTGGATGGTGACACTCCCGAGGACTTGGAACTAGTAGTTATCAAAAGAGGGTTCATGGTAGAACCAAATTTCTTTTTGACAGATAATGGTGCCCCTGCAGTTCTAGATCTGTCAGTCCAGGTTGGGCCAGCTACACTTTCTTGCCTCCGGAGCATCGTGATGGCCGCAATGCTTCTGTAGCTCTCTGTGCAGCTTGTCAGGCTTGCTCCTCTAGCTTTAGTTTCTCTTCATTGTGAGCATTCATAACAGCATCATGATCCAGTACACTATGAATCCCATTTGCATAAAAACACTTGGCAAGATACTATTTTCTTCCTCTACTTCACCTTTGATGATATAAGCTTTCTCCTCTTTGTCATTGCTTCCTGAGTCGTTTTCTTTTCCCACAACAGTGTTCTGATATGCTGGATTTGTTTGAGTATATGTACCCATTTCCTGGTCAGGGTGTTGAGGCCCAGTAATATTTATAATTTGATATCCTCATTTAACTGACTGCTGATACTAGATGTTTCTGTAGAGCCATTCTTCCCATCCTCATCTCTTTTCTTGAGTATCTTGATCCCTTTACCAGCAATAGCCCTGTGTAGCAGGTAGTCAAAACCTACAGCTCCCTCTTGAACCGGTATACAAACTGCTAGCAGCCCCCTAACATCTACACCAACTATTATGAAATCTTTGAAGAGACCAGGAAAGAGATCATTGACCAGCATCAGATACACGTCAGCTTTAGTCAACCGGTTGGAAGAAAGTACAACTACGTTTCCATACACTGATCCTATTTGGCTACCTAAACCATTTAAATTGGAGACCTCCTTTGAGTTGTACGATCCAACCATTAGAGCTCCCTTTCCGGTAGAACAGTTTTCACAAACATTTTTTTTCACATACAGAGCAGACGTAAAATAAGGACTGTAAGTCAAGGCAGATAATGCTGTAGAGGGTGCAAGAGCTGCATGCCCTGTTTCATCATGAATCTGACATTTGCCTCCCAAACCACTTACACCAATTCCAGTAACATTCAGAAAGCTATAGCAGATTTATGCATATTGTCAAGCCCAATAGATGCAGTGAGTTTATCATCAATGGAAACCTGTCCAATAAGTGCAATGGCGTTTGCTACCCCACACAATCTTCTCATCTCAAAAGCATTAATTACTACTAGTAGATTTTTTGGATTTATACTGGCAGACTCAACATCGATTGATAATAAAACTCTTTTCAGTAGAAGTGAAATAACCTTTAGGTTCAACGATAACCGACGCTTTCTCCTTGTTTTCATCATCGCCCTTAGTGCACTTCTCTGCATTTTCTCTGAAAGGCGAAGCACTCCTCTCGTCACAGGGAGGTCGCCGCCTACTCACAGACTCCTGCCGGACTGATGAAACCTGTGAACTCAGCGAATCTGATAGCGACGAAGCTGGCGAACTGGAAGAAGCTGTTGGCAACTGCAAGCTGAGAGTTTCTTCTCTCGATCGCGTCGTACTTGGACGAGAACTGATGGTGGATGAAGACGCCTGCAGACTGAGAGTATCTGCTCACGATGAAGCCATAGAACTGGAAGGAGTTGCTCGTGACTGAGAAGAAACCTACATACTTAGCGATGAACTGGGAGACGCGGTTGGCGACCAAACTCGTGAACTCAGAGAGTCCGATAAGGACAGAGTCCGCAAACTGGGGAACTCTGCTCGCTGTGAAGCTGATTGCGACAAGCCTGGTTTTTGCGATTGCCGATGACGTCTAGGGTTCCCTTATCGGTGTCGACGATGATGTTGACGCACACGGTGACACATCTCGTCCAGCCTCTTGTCCTACATTGTTTTCATTTCCTTCAAATGGCGTTCAATATTATTCATACTCTTCTCCCTTCGCGATGACACATAGAATTCCTCCATCATTCTAGTTTGTTGATGCTCTGGTGATGATCCGATTCAGTCTCTCTGTCTCCAGGAGCAAGGGTGCTCTGATACCAATGATAGAGACCCCAAAAATTGACTGTAAATTCAGAGAACGTCTGAGAATTACAATAGCAGAAAACAAAGGAAAACAGAAAAGAAACGGGACTGGTTCGAGAGCGTCCCCTTTCCCAAGCAACAACCCAATTTCTGCCTACTTTTTATTTCTCCCTGCCCTTCTATTTATACTACCCGTACAATTATTATTATCAATATTTTATTATTATTATTAGCCCGGTTCTTATAGAAAAAGATCCCCAAAACTTTGGTTCTTTAAAGAGAATATCAGCATAACAGGAGTGTAAGCTGCTAGTTACTTTAATTTGTTTTTCTAAAGAAGAAAAAGAATCCCCAAATAGCCAAAACCTCAATTTTAGAATATATAGTATTATGTGTATAGAATTTTTAAATTTTAACATGTAGCTTTATATGTGTAAAATTTCTAAATATTATTTTCATATCTATTTAAACACACATATTTATTCGTATAACTTTAATTTGAAGAACGGGATCCTTAGCGCCCCAGTTTCAGTGTTGCTGTGTGATTCCCATTTTTGTATAAATTATTCAAAAGAGTTGGGATGAATCGTTGGGCCTTAGGCACTCTTAGGGCCACAGGAAGTCGCCGCTGGGAATCAGCGAGTGGGATCGCCGCTGAGAATCGTTGGGTGGGATTGAAGTTGGGAATTGATGGCCTACAACCATGGAATCACCATTTCGATGCGTCGAACAGAGGATATCACAAATTTGGAGGCAAGATTGATGAAGTCAAGAGGGTAGCCTCACAACGCTGGACACCGCTTCATCCGCATCGTAGAGATGGACGGATTGGAGTCTCTTTCCTTTAACAGAGGCAATGTTGTTGGTCTGACCATGAATCTTTGCAGCCGCAAGGCTTTTCAAGGGATGAGGCACGCAAAGTTAATCACTCTTGGCAGAGGGGAGCTTGGTCGCTCCAGATTGGTCGGAAGTGAGGACTAAGTCTTCACGGCAAAGGGATATCAATGAGGATTTTGATGATTTCAGTCATCGTAAGGGGGTGTCGTAAGGGGGTGTTACAGGTATTGGATGCTTGTGATCATGATTATAGGGAGGATGATGTATTCAACACCAAAAGGGATTGATACAGGTCTAATAATCCGCTTTTTGCCTTTCAGAAGGATGATTACAAGGATTTGGTTCAACAACCTGCATTTGATTCAGCTTCTTCTTTAGAATCTGGCATTTTTAGTGAAAGCAAAATTTCTTTTTAATTGCTTGGACAAATCTGTTCGTATTTCTGAGGTCAAATCAGGTTTTAATTCTTCAATTGTGTTTGATCTAGATAATTTACTATGGCTGAGGAGTTCTAGATTCGAGTTGAGCAGCTTTATAATTCTCTTCAATTCAAATTCTTATGGTGGTTTTTCGGATCATTGACAAAGGGATTGATTCTATTTTTTTCTGAAGAAAGATATGGATAAGGTTTCTGGGATTTCTTTTCAAGATTATTCAGAGCCATTAATTTGTTGAATGATTTTTCAGAGCCAATGGAATTTGTGCCGGATTTTTTGCTAAGACTTGAAAGGGTTGGTAAGATTAATGACTTTTCAGTCTCCGAGATTCTTTTTCAGGCTGATATTCAGGGATTTTCTCCTTCGACAATCACTCTGGATATGTCTTCATCGACTGTTTTGATTTCTTCTTCTGATGCATTGAAGGAACTAACTACATGCTCCAAGAAGAACGTGAAAATGTTTTTCTCAAGCAAATGTTGTGGGTAAGATCTCTAAGACGACTGTTATTTCCTATCCTTCTCTCCAAGATCTTATCACTCAATTCAAGACAAATCAAATGAGTTTAGACAAAAGGATGAAATCTTAGACTTCGGCTCAGAGTGTTGCTCTTTCTTCATCTACGGCTTCAGTGACTTCTCTAGCTTTAGTTGAACAAAGTGATTTGATTGAGGTCACTAAAGATTGTTCTTTCACTCCAGTTATTTCTCGGCGTCACAAGAAAAAACTTGCTATCCAGGCTTCCTCTTTGCGTTCCTTAGCTTATCTTATCTTATCTTTATTGCTTTAGCTTTCTTCTTTCATTAGCGCATGTAATGCACCATGAGGCCCATAACATACAAATTATCAAACACGGAGTAAATAATAAAATTATTCCTTATTTTACTATCAATTAATTTTTGAAATATATAAATAAATCAACATAAATAAATAAATAAAATGTGTGTATATATAATCTTTATATGTATAATGAGTGTATATAGATGAAGTATAATTCCAATTGCAAGAGCTAATCTATCGATGAGTTTGATATGCGTAAGATAATCGATAATTTGGCAGCGTAAGACTATTATTATTCAGGAGGATCGTCTCTACAAGATATGTACAAGTTCGTCTCCCTTTACAAACATATACACGAGTATTTATAAGTGTATGGTCATAATACAATTAGGAGACATTATTGATACAATTAATGACCAATCATAATAGGACTCATATAACGTTTCTCATAGCTTTTGTATTTAATGCCTCCTTGATGCCTGCGTATCATCAGGTGATTTGTGTCGCTGCACGTTATCCGTTGCGGTTCTGATGCCACGTAAGCCCTAACAAGTGTCCGACCTCAAGGAGATTTCCATTGAGCTTGGCGCCTACCGTCCAGGTTGGCTTAGGCGTGATTAATCCCACAGTGGGCTTAGATCTCCCTGTTCAGGCTTTTATAGCTTGTTTATTAATTCTTTATCCGGGTTGATCTGGAGTCAAGTATTTATTCCCATAGTTGGACTATGGATCAGGCCCGTAGCACCTTCACGGGACCCCCTACTCTGGGTCCCACTCTGTTGAATTGACCGGGCTCAACGAAAGAGAGTAACTAGATTCCCTCTAATTTTTAAATTGGTCCGTCTATCATTCATTTAATACTTGCCTCATTCTTTGCAAGTACAGAACGAATGAACACGTGCCTTGGAAACATCACAACTTCCAAATCTTTCTTACTAACCTCCGCACTCGAGTGCCTCAATCCCGGTTCCCTAGCACTTATACGGTGCCATCTCCCTATATATAGGGCTTTCCGCTTGGGCCTGTGCTTTCTACTAGAAACCCTACGCGCTTATGAGCTTTGGTGAGGATACTCTTCTCAGTCCTTCCGTTCTTGTCACGTCAGTTTCATGTCTTCCTCTTTTCTGAAATTTCCTTTTGAACCCACCCCCCTCCAAGACGTCTTCCCTGCAAGGAGGGTTCATCTTCTGGCCTCCCTTGAATCCCTATCGATACTTCGTGGGTGGAAACCCATTTTTAACTTTTTTTCTGATTTCGCCCGGGGTATCCCAGCAGCGGGCAAAATATAGTTGAACCTCCCTCCTCTACTCAATTCGGGGTCCATCTCGCTAGCTTGGAGATAGGAGCTCGATTTCCTCTTCATCATGCCCTTCGACTCGTTCTCGACCACTAAGGGGTTATTCCGGGTCTACTTACCCTCATGATGCATCTGTTCATCGTCGAGTTTATTGCCTGGTGTCTTCACTTGAAAACTTTCCCCACTCTGGATCTCTTCTTGCACGTCTTTCACTCTGTTCAACCTTTGATAGTATCACCTATTCTTTGCCAAATCTTATCCCGACTCCCATAAAAACTGGAAGAATAAGTGGGTTTGTGTTTCTCTGGTTGAGGGTGCCTTGTCATTTACGAACAGGTGGGTGAGTTGATCCGGAGATGGTGTATGCTCATTATAAGTGAGGGTAACAAACATGCCGCTACCCTCATTGCCGATGGTGCCTTTTTGTGATGAGCCATTATGTAGGCGAGGACGGTGTGGTCCTTTTAGAGTATCTCTCAAGTCTCAAGTCGGCGATGCTTGATTTATCATTTTTTCATATTTTGTTGTTCCCATGCGCTTATGTATGTCTTGTTGGTGTTCTGCAAAGGGTGAGAAGATGGCATCCAGGTTATAAAGGCTCTCCGCTCGGACTGGAAATACCTCTGGTTCCCTAGTTTCGGCTAAGAGAGTCCTCACAAGGGTAATGTCTGAGTAGCGTACTGGGACCCTAAGAAGGGATGCAGCTGTGACTCCTGCCCACCCGGCTAATAACCCTTGACCTCTTGTTACCAGGGGGCCGGGAAGAGGCCGACAACCCAGTCCATCCCTGCTTCCAAGCTATAGAAGACCAAAACTGTTGCTACTGATGATGAGACCACTTTGTTTGCCTAACCATGCCGCTCTGCTACCGCCTCACTGCATCATGGGAGCGTGAATCCCATTTCTCTAGCCTTGGAATCCTTTGTTAACTTTTTCTTTCAGCTTCCTAACGTCTTGGTTCCTCAGACCTTCACTCAGCCGCCAGCTCTCGAAGCTTAGGTGACAAGGAGAAGGAAGTGAGGAAGACGATCTTGGATCACAAGAAGGCAGTTGCCGTTCGGAGGCCAGGCTAGCAGCGGTGGCGGCGGCGAGGGTGAGCACGGTGAAAGAGCGGGAGGAGCTGAAGAAGAAGAATGAAGAGCTGGAGGTTGCCCATCGCGCTGTGGAGGAGTCCTGGAGGGTGAAGGAGGAGCGCTTGAAGAAAGAGGCTGCTGATGTTGGTTCTGACGCTTTGAGGCCTTCTGAGGAGAGGGGGAGAAGGAACTGGTCCCCGGCCGAGCTGAGATTGCTTAGACGTGGCTTCTGACTCTGGATGGCGAGGCCAAACTCGATGAGGAGGGGGCGCTCTGTTTTGAAGTAGCTAGATTTGCCATGCAGCAATCTATCGAGAAGCTGTTAAAGAAAAACTCAAAAAAGACCTCTTCTTCTCTGCCAAATCCTGGGGGTTGCCTGATGAGTTGGTCAATTCTGAAGCTCCCAGAATAATGCTCCCACAGCCACCCGGATTCCTCCAAGAAGAGTCTTGATTCCTCGCTCTTTTAAACAATTATTCAAACACTTGTTTCCAGACCTGCGTGCATTTGGATGTTTTCCGCCCTCGGGGCGGCATTGTAACGAACACTTCACATTTTCGTGCATCTATCATTTTATATATCTCTGTTGATATTCTTTACATGCTATAGTTTTTACCTTATCCAGGGTGCGGAGAAGTTCCAGTTGACTTAGACGACACTTGGGGTCGTCCTTACTTGACCCCGTGCCGTTCCAGCAGGATCTTGTGAAATTCTTACGTAGGGATCCATGGATTCTTGGGAGGCTAGTGTTAGTCCGGATCAGCTGGCGCTAACATAAAAAAAATTGAAATAATAGTAAGAGTCTATTTGAGGCTATTCCGTTTCATGTAATATGATTTATTTTTGTATATTATTCATAATGTGTGGTCAAAGGTATGTGATCAGTAAAAAAGTGAAAGTGTTACCAATAACACACATGTATGTATCATGTATGTATGTTGCATCTATTCAGGATCATTTTCGAGATCTGCGGTGAACTACAATGCTGGAGCACAAACAGTAGCGTCAAATATAATAATGGCAACAGCCGTTCTGATCACTCTACTGTTCCTCATGCCATTGTTCCACTACACACCAAACCTCATATTGGCAGCCATTATTATCAGTGCTGTGATTGGACTTATCGATTACCAAGCTGCTTTCCGGCTATGGAAAGTTGACAAATTTGATTTCTTGGCATGTATCTGCTCCTTCTTTGGCGTCCTTTTCATCTCCGTGCCCCTTGGCCTTGCCATTGCAGTAAGAAGCTTCTTCTCAAATCTCAAACCAATTACATATAGAAATCCCGGCCAGGGCACTAAGCCATTTTGAACACAGTAAACTGTAGGGAAAGGAAAAAACTGCTCATATTTTTTAAGTTTGATATCATCTTGGAGATTATGAAGGAGCATCAGTTTTGATTAAACCATTTAGGTTTATTACCTATATTTATATTTGGTAGTCCTTATGTTATAGAAATAGAAATATATACATTTTTCTTATGCGCACTCATGGACACATGATAAAGAGAAATTAATGAGTTAATTTAGAGAAATTAATGAGTTAATTTTAGCCCATAATAATGTTTATTGTTTTCATAATCCTTGATACATGTATTAATTTTAATGATACATCAATTTTTTTACTTTAAACATTAAAAGTTAAATAAGCATTATCATGCGCCCACGAGCACACATTAGGAAAACTTTATAAATAACACGAGTTTTAACATATACATAAAACTTATGTCATTAGTTTAAAACTCTAAATAAACCAAAGTTTTATTTCTGCCCTATGTTTTACATCATTTTCCTACTTATTTCATTGCTAAAAAACAAGTACTTTCTTTCTAGTTATCTTCTTTCCCTATTATATTACGGGTTCCAAACAGACCCAAACGGCCAAACACAAAAGGTTTCTTATTTCTAAGATTCTTCTTTTTCTTTTTTTTTTTGTGTGAAAATTTAGGTTGCAGTTTCTGTGTTCAAGATTCTTTTGAATGTGACAAGGCCCAATACTTGTGTTCTCGGAAAAATTCCAGGAACTCAGGTATATCAAAGCCTAAGCAGATATAGAACAACCACTAGGATACCTTCTTTTCTTGTACTCTCAGTGGAAGCTCCTATCTACTTTGCAAATTCCACCTACGTACAGCAAAGGTAAGATTAGCTATCCTGGCTTTGTCAGTCTTAAATCTTTGAGGCGTTTGGTGTGGGCGGTCTAATATTACCTTATTATTGGGTGTTTAGTTCAACAGAAAGGGGGAGAGGGTAGGCGGAGTATAAGGGAAGTAAGAGTTAAAATAGTACTACTGTGTAGTACTAGGATGTTTTTAGGATGTTTTTACTTGGACTTATTTCAGTTCCAGACCAGACTTAGGGAGTTTTTGCGTTTGCTTCTACTTTAAAAGTGATTTTTAAAGTGATTTTGGAGAAAGTGTTTATTAGTAAAAGTTGATAGTGTTTGATAATGGAAATGATTTTGATTAGAAACCAAAAAGTTGTAGTGTTTGATAAAAAATGATTTTTGTTGAAATATTTTATCAAAGTACAAAAACGCCCCCAACACACCCTGTTATCTGCTGTAATATATCTCCAATATATCTCCAAGTATAAATCGGAAATCTGGATCGGCAACCATCAACTAAAACGGCATGTAAATTCCAGAAAGCCAAGATTGTTGCCCATCCCTAAACAAAGTCGAGGGGTCAACAATTCCCCAAAATCCATTCTATACACTGTTCTTGCTACTCCTACTACATAAGATGCGTGCTCTCTATGAGCCATCAAAGGAGAAGCCAAAAAATACATAGTGGTTGGGCTTATATTATATATGAGTGTGTGTATATGGAGGAAGAAGAAGAACGGAGGAGACGCAGGGATTGAGCTCGGATGCAGGAGATGTCAACAACTAGTCGTGTAAGCTCAATTCAGTCCCTGAACTAAAAAAAGTTCAATTCACACCCCGAATTGATAAAAAAAGGTTCAAATTTCATTTTTTATGGGTAAACAACTGGACATTTTTTTAATATTTTAATTGTTTCTGTTTTGTATTTTTGACTTATTGCAATTTTGACAATTTTTAATAGTTTAGCGGTGCGAATTAGACCTTCTCTACCGATTGTTTTCATCTAATGCACACTTGAGTCTAAATTTTTATTTTGCACATATCAGTTAATGCCTCATCTAATGCATACTTGTTTTAGTTCAGGGACTGAATTGAGCTTACAACACGGTACCAGGGCCTATTTGACACTTTAACCATTATAAAATACGCATGACTTTTACCAGACCAGAAAATTTCACTCCATTATCAAGTAAACTATAGGGGCAATACATTTAATCACAAATGCATTTGTGTTTTTATTATAAATACGTATAATATTTAATTATAGTGTTGTAAACAACATATAATTCTAAGTTTTTTTAAAGTAACATTTAATTCTAAATTAGTTAACATAATTAATTTCAATTTGAATATTTATTTTAAAGATCCAGTAGTAAGGTAATCAAGAGAGGAGAGACGTTGTCGAGGAGAGAGATGTGCGATTAAAAGTAACCATGTAATTTTCACAAGGGGCTAGTTTCCATCAAACCAAACAGATACAGGGTAATATAAGAGGCTAGGCTCCTTTGCGTTGAGGGTGATGCATATGTATAACGTATCACGTAACTGCAGATTGCTGAGATGGGTCCGAGAAGAGGAAGAGAGGGCCACAGAAAACGGAGAAAGGCCAATCAGATGCATAGTTGTTGACATGTCAGCTGTTACAGCCATAGACACAAGTGGTATAGAAACAATCCGGGAACTGAAAATGGTGTTAGAGAGACGGTCGCTTAAGCTTGTATTGGCTAATCCTTTGGAAAACGTTGTGGAAAAGTTGAGCAAGTCCGGCTTTCTTGCAGAGCTTGGCATGGACGGGTTATACATGACGGTTGCAGAAGCTATTGCAGACTTGTCCATATTGAAGCCTACTACTCCTACTGTTAATGAACCGTGAAACCACACGGGAACTCATATTTGTAGCTCCACCCACCCGGATGTTAGGGTTGTTTCAATTGTATGCTCTTGTAGAAGGTGGGGTTTCAATTTGATGAAATTACCGAATAAGTGAGGAGTAAAAACTAGTGGTTCAATTCTCCTAAACATAGTATGTATCATGTTTCCTCTAAATAGCAATAAAGCATTGTTATATGAAAGGGGAATTCTATTTGCAGCCTCACTTTCACTAAACACAGCCCCTTCTTTCCGTATTAATTAAAATCAATTCATAATTCCCATTATAACCTTTTACTTGATACAACTCTTATCATCAAATCTAAATACCATGTCTGAAGTTTAGTTTCTGGCGGAGAAGCTACATGGAGATATATCTCTCACAACAGGTCCCGGAACTCAGACCATGTGATAACCGTAGTAAGTAGAGATGGCAATTTCGGCCGACCCGTTGGATACCCGCACCGAACCGATTTGGTCAAACTAGGGATGGACTCGGGCCGGGCGGCCCGGCCCGGTTACTGTGCGGTTCGGGCCCGGGCCCTTTGATTGGCGAACCGGCCCGGCCGGTTCGGGCCCGGTTCGGGCCAAATTATTTTTTTTTTTGAATTTTTTTTTCTGAACCGAGGCCCGGCCGGGCCCAGGCCCGAACCGGAACCGGTCCACCCATAGGTCAAACTGGGGAAAACCGGTTTGACTGGGGAATGGGTATGGGGCGGGGAATACCCGAATTTTTTAAATGGTTAATGGTGCGGTTATGGTTCTATACTAATCTGCCCCGAAACCGCCCCGTTTTCTAATGGTGCGGGTACTCGCACCGTTACCCGATCCGTAACATTATTAATGAATTATAACTTTTTATATATAAGAATAATAAGTATATATGCCAAATTGTGTATACTAAATAGTATATATCATATAAATAATGCTAAAAAGTATAGTACTTTTTAGGCCTAAAACTAAATATAGGCATAAACCTGTCTTTGGAATTTGGATTCTGGGATAATTATTACCTTTTTATTATGTTACAAGAGATATTAGGTGCATGTCATACTAATGGATTTAGGCCAGTCTGCTTGATTGCTTAAATATTTACTTTTGTATGTTTTAGGGTGTTTTGAATATATAACTAACAAGCAGGATTAGAAATTGGTTATTTGTTTTCCAAAAAAATGGTTATTTGGCATCATTTGGGGAAACGGTTACCCGTGGATAAACCGATTCCTCGTTGGGGCGGGTACGGTTCAAATAAAAATTACCCGAACGGGTAATGGGGCGGTTTTGGGGCAAACATTTACCCAACGGGGCGGTTTCGGTTTTATGTGTATCCGTCCCCGATCCGCCCCGTTGCCATCACTAGTAGTAAGCGGTGCAAGACTCCATCAAGATTCCTAGAAATTACATGCGACATGGCCTGGGACCTCCTCCAGCAACGAATCCTCTCCCAGAAAAAAATGGAAATTCCCTATGAGTGAGACCCTCACTTTTCTTGTGAAAATTGTCCCTCCCTACTAATTTTACCGTTTGTGAGAGTGTGAGGTGGGCGTGAATCATTAGCTCTAGACGGCGGCCTCTTTGTTGTCCAATAGCACATAGGTAGGCTCTACCACGCCTTCTGCATTTCTTCTGCTTCGGAAAGGAGAGTACATCTTGCCTTTAGTTGCTTAGCATCTGGGAATGCCGCTTCGGAAGAGTAGTCATCGTTCTCTCTGGAATTACTCCAATCCCGTTGTCTCGCCGGAAAGGCGGAAAGGACCAACCTTACTCCCTGATTGAAAAAGGGCAAATTAGATATTTAAATTTATTTAATTAATTTATTATTTAATTTGGGGCTGTGCTTAGAAATATGAAGGCTGTCAATAGAACAGCCCTATATGAAATTAGTATAATGCATTGGATGTCAGTTGTTATACCGTGGGAGTAGGGGTGGACTGGGCCGGTTTCGGGCTGGGTCGGGTCTGGGAAATTGAGTCCCGGTTATATACCGGGTCCGGTCCGGGTCAGGCTACCTGGGTTGGCTTTGGGTCCGGTCCGGGTCAGGCCTAATTTTTTTTTAATTCACAAGTACTACAAAAACATTCAATGCATATTCATTGAAATATGAAGTAAAATTGATAATATGGTTAATAGCCTATTTTAAAAAAGCGGGAAAAAACACTTCACGTCCCCTTGGCTTTTAATTTCGCATACTACACGGTTTTTTCTTAACCCTACACCCCCTCCAACGGCTCTATAGCCGTTGACAACGGATAGGAACAACCAGGTAGCCCACAAGCATTTGAAAAGCCATTTTTTTTTTATAATTCAAGGACTTAGAGGTGGTAGCTTTTTGAACTTTGGCTGCGGCCCATCACCTTCTTTTTGTTGTTGGCCGTTTGTTATTTTGCTCTCCTTTTTCCTTGGTTGTTGCTGTGATTGGCCATTTGTATGTGCTTGGCGTTTTTTGCTCTCTCTTTAGCTAGGCTGCGTGATGGGTTATCCTTGTTTTGGATAACCTTTAGTTTTGTTTCCTTTTTTGCTGTACTGGTGTACTTTTTGGGTGATTTTTTATTATATACTTGCATTTCATCCAAAAAGCTATTTTTTAAATTATATCCGTTTCACGTTTTTCATGTCCCGGAGCCCGCCCAATCAAACTACCGGTTGGGGCTTCAGGCCCGGTCCTGGGGCCGGTTCAGCGGGTCGGGTCAGGTCCCAATAGTGCTAGGCGGGTCCCGAGTCGGTCCGACTGACACAATACACCCATACGTGGGTGTAGGGGTGGTTCCGTACGGTATACCGGATATTTTCTCGCATAACTTTGCCGTACCGAAACTTTTGGTATACAAAATTTATATACCGTTACCATACTGAAGTTTCGGTATACCGCATTTTGGTATACCGAAATTTTTGTTCGGTAACGGTACGGTATCGGTAAATTACCATGAATGTCTCCCAATATGATAAATTATCATAGACTAATGAAATATACTAAATCGTTACTAGAGACATATTTAATCTATTATTAAAATGTTACAAAATACAATTAATAATCTATTGATGTCAATTCAATATTGAACAATAATTATTATTAATATATTTAAGTAGTTTAACATGCCACGTATTAATAAATAACACATTCTCCTAAAATAACTTGAACAATATAGATATAATTAAATCAATAGTGATCTCTAGCAAAAATAAATAAAATTATTCAAACAACATGGATATAAATGAAATCATTTATTTCTAATATGGTATTGTGCATTTAGTCATTTTTATAATTTTTTGAAAAATATTTGAATAAGACTTTAGATAAAGTTGTGTGTCTCGACATTAGTATATTACTTATTAGTCATTATGGTTAGTTTGTTTGAATGTTATGTAGTAGAAGCCTAAAACGTTATAGTGAGTTTAGGAAATTAGACTTTTATTTTTGTATTTTGGTATTTGTAACCAACTTAAGTATTAATTTTGGACTTCAAAATTGTAATGGATTTTTACAATATTTTAGAATTAAAAGTAATTATTGGGTAGGGAGTCGGTACGGTATTATACCGGTATATATATCGCGGTATTTGAAAACATTTACCGTTACCGTACCGAAACAAATCGGTACGGTATGATACCGTACCGAAAATGACAGTATACCAATATTCTGGTATTTTCCGGTAATTTTCGGTACGGTAAGTGCAGTATACCGATATTTCGGTATTTTTGCCCACCCCTACGTGGGTGCAACCCATGAGCATCGTAGTTTCACAACTAAAACATGCGTGACCAATATTCTTTTGGCATGGAAAATAATGTAGTCAGAATGTTATTTTGGCATGAACAATATTTCTTTTGGCATGAAAAATATTATACATCTTATTATTTTCATGATATTCTTTTGGCATTAGAATAAGAATAATGCATTATAATAAGAATATAATGTTACATTATATTCTTTTGGCACGAACAATATTTTCATGCCAAAAGAAATATTGTTAATGAAAAAATTTTCATGAATAACATTTCTTTATTTTCAAATGTAATTCGCGCATATGATAATGTAGTCATGCACATGAAAAAATATGCATAATAAGATATAGCATGCACAAATGAAAATGTAATTCGCGCATAAAAAGTTGTAACTCTATTTATTATCAAATCTAACTCGAGAAATCATGTATAAATGTAATTCACACATATGAAAATGTAAATCACACACATGAAAATGCAACCTCTTATTTTATCAAACGTAAATCAAAATAAATAAATTTAATTTAATATCTTAGAAACACTATCAACATATAAAAGAGATTAAAAAATATATTATAGAAAAAGTGTATGAATATGAAAAAATATATTACAAAAACGTATGAATATAAAAAATATTACTGAAAAAATAAATTCAATTAAAATTTAAGTTGAAGATAAAAAAAAAGTAAAAAAATAGGTCAATATGAAATATCGGAGTACTATATATTTCCTCCGTTTTTCATAGTTGTAACATTGTGATTTTTGTATTATTTACACACCTTACTTTGATCACAATTTTCTACTAATATATATAATCAAATTATTGCGTATAAAATGTGATTAAATTTATATTAATGAGAATTAAAAAAATATTAAGTTTTTAAAAATTTTACTAATACGTAATTAAATACTACGTATAATCACAGTCAAAGTTGAGCATTGACAACCATGAAAGTCAAACTGTTTCAGCTATTAAAGAATGGAGGATAGTACTTATTGTATGTGAATTAATATAGTTTTGTAATGAAATGGTAGGGAAAAAAGAAGATAAATTCAGTTGTAATTTAATTAATTATAAAGAAAAGTAAATTGAAATTAAATTTTTAGCATTTTGTTGGAGGAGAAAAGAATTGAAGAAAATAAAAATAAAGAAGAAATCACAAAATTGAAGAATAACAAATGTTTTTGATCTTGCAGGAAAAAGAAAAGGAACAGTGTTGTATTTGGGACCACTAGACCATATTCATAGTATAACGGTCGCAAAGTATAATTTGTGATTGGGTACATATAATGGCTATGTATTTCTTGTACATGTATTTCTTGCATATTACTATCTATGTCCCTCTAAGATTAGTACAAAAAATGTTGTGCAATTTTTAAGAATAGCGAAATTTCGTAGTTGATATTGAATTGATAAATGTAAATAAAGTAAGAATGAAATGTAATTGCTTCAATATTACCAAATATGATATGAGATAAATTTTATATGATGAACGAAAAAGATAAAACAAGACAAAGTTGGGGATAAAGGAAGTAGCTTTAATGGAATCATCACATTTTTTCTCACATATGCAGTATATACAAGGTGGGATAGGGGAAGAGTTACATTCTTGAGTTGAGCTGTATATGGGTCTGGAGATAAATGGACATCCACATTATTACATAACATTTATGATCCTTCAATCATTGAGACCATTCAATTTCCTAGACAACTTGTAGCCAGGTATAGAATTACGAACAAGCAATGAGAGGTTAGTGTCTCTCTCTTACACACACACATGTGAAAAATAATTAAAATACCTCGAACTTTGAAGGGGTGTGAGATAAACACCCCGAACTTTCATATGTACTTTAAATACCCCAAACTGTTTATAAAAAGTTATTTTAACACCATGGTCAAGTAATATTTATTTCAAAAATGTAAATTTATGATTTTAATTGCATAATTTAAAATAGCAAATTGAAAACGTTGCAATTAAATAAAGTGGGGGGTAATACTATTTATTTTACAATAGAATTTTAGAATGTTAATTGTATCTTCATGAATGCTAAAATATTTTAAATTATGAAATTAACACAAAAAAATAACATTTTTGAAAGAAATAATACATGGCCATGGTGCTAAAATAAATTTTTATATAAAGTTTGGAGTATTTAAATTACACGTGCAATTTTGGAGTGCTTACCTCACATCCTTTCAAAGTTCATGGTATTTTAATTATTTTACCCTATATATACATAGTGTGGGAGTAAAGATCAAATAAAAACTCTTCCTCGCATGAAAACCAAAAACCAACCACAACGGTACGTTAGTGGCTTATTCTCTTTGATCGGCAGTTTTTTTTCATGAATATGGTTATTGGTATTGGGATCCTACTTTGGTGAGTTGCACCCCATGTTGTTAATGATGATTCACATAAGGTCATGTTGCACCCCATGTTGTCAATGCTAAATAATTACAAAAATGTCACCTTGTTATTATTGTCCATTGATTGTAAATATGAATGATAAAGATTAAAAGTTGTCATTTTAAGAGGGTTCTCATAAGAAGCCTTCCCTAGCGTGTATATATATGTAGGGCCTTGGGTATGAATGAGTGGATTTGGAGTAGAGGCGTGACATTAAATTTAAGCAATCTTTAAGGTACGTACGTAGTAAGTAACCCGGCCAACACGGCATTCCTTATTCCCCCGCTAGCTTCTTCACTCAGCCAAGGCAAGCCAGAATTATGTCGTATGTATTATATATGTGTGTATATGTATATATACATGTATCATGCGAGCTAGCTAATTGCATGCATGCCATGGTACGTGCGTGAGCTGCATATATAATTAATCACTTAGAAGTGATTGAATTGAATACATACTCCTCTGTATGTTGAGGTAGCTGGCTGCTACAAGATCTATCATATCGTATCATATCATATCATATTACATCATATATCAAAATGGACGTTGATTGGGGACCGGTGGTGGTGGCCGTGGCGATGTTCATCGTGCTATCGCCGGGATTAGTGTTCCAATTGCCGGCCCGGGCGAGGTGCGTGGAGTTCGGGAACATGCACACCAGCGTCGCATCCATCCTCGTTCACGCCATCTTATACTCTTGTATCTACACCATCTTGATGCTCGCCGTCGGTGTTCACCTCCGCTACCATCTTTAATTCCCTGCATGCCCTTTTTCGATCATTTCCATGCCTGCCTACCTTAGCTAGCTTCTTCCATGCTCTCTTATATACGTAGTAATAATTAGTAAAATGTATTGTATTGTAGTTAAATCCTAATTAATTAGTTTGTTGCACGCATTGCTATGAGGATATATAGCAAACATGTTTTCTCTTTAATTTACCGGAAGTAAATTATATTAAAGACAACATAATTAAATAAATATGATGATGATTTTAATTTCAATACATACATACAGTGGCGGGCCCAGAAAAATAGAGCAATGGGGTCCCTACCTTAACGTAGCTCTAATTAATACAAAAAAAAATGTAAAATATTAAAGAAGAACGTTTCATACTTAACGTACATTATCAAAACATTGAGATAGCTAGTATATAGTAAAAAAAATTAAAAATAAAGGGCATTCTACAATTCTACCTACCGTTGATCGCATATCTTATTTTGCAACTCATTCCTCATGGACTTCATTCTTGAAAACATTCATTCAACTCTTATTGTAGGATACTATAAGTAGAAATAACTTATTAAGCATATACACTTGCTGATATGTGAGATACTTCTTCGTGGACACCATTGCAATCAAGAATTAGCTTCCAAAAACTCAAAAACAACATGTTCATGTAGATATACTCCCTCCGTCCCTTATAACTTTGCCAACTTTCCTTTTTTGCATGTCCCATTAACTTTGCCACTTTCCCATTTAAGTAAAGAATTTGTGGTTCCAGTTAATTCTCTCTCCTCTGCACAAACCTCAACCACACAGTTTTTACTTTATTAATCCCTGTGCCGGTCAAACTTGGCAAAGTTATTAGGGACGGAGGGAGTATAAGCCAAATCAGTTTCACTATCAACAATTATTTGATCCAATTCTTCATTTACTAAAGGCGAGTCATTTGAATTAACATCTGAACTACTTTCGGTACTTCAAATTTCTGAACTATCAAAATATATTTTCACCCTAAATCGTAAAAATATTGAAAAAAACATTCATAAATGCATACATTTATTAATTTATTCGTAACATTCAAAGAAATTTTAGTAATTGATCCAAAAAATAAATAAATTATGCAAAGGGTAAATTGGGTCATAGGGTTTTTAAAAACTGGCTTGTGCTCCCGCCCAATTGCTCCAACCACTACAAGAAAAATCATTTATAGAGGCAATGCTTTGAGGCAATTTGCCTCTAATACACCTTTTTAGCATCATATGAATCTTGGTTGCCTCTGATATTATAAGCCCCCAATACATTTGAGGCAACCGTGATTTTTTTTGTCTCTAAACGACATTATTTGGAGCAAAAATGATCTTTGTACCCACTCTTATACCCACTTTTGTACACACCTATGTTTGTGAAGTTTTTTTTTTGTCTGTGAACCCCGGCTCACAGACAATATTATGCACAGACAAAATATTGTCTGTGAACCCGGGTTCACAGACAAAAAAAAACCTCCACAAACATGGTGGGTATAAGATGAGTATAAAAGTGGGTACATCAAGCATTGTTGTATTTGGAGCAACCCTTGTAGGGTTGCCTCTAAAAGCTTGTTTCAAAAGTGTGGTTGCCTCTAAAGGGTATTATTTGGAGCAATCCTTTTAGAGTTGCTTCTAAAACCTTGTTGCAAAAGTGTAGCCACCTCTAAAATGTATTATTTGAATCAACCTTTGTAAAGGTGCGTCAAAAAGTTTGGTACAAAATTATAGTCGCTCGTAAAACATTGCTTCAAAACGTTGTTTGACTTAAAAATAGTTGAGTCAATAATTTGGGACAAATTAAATTTCGTGGTTATTAAAAATATGTACTCCATAATTAGTAGTATTTTGAAATTTTCGAAGTCAACTATTCTAGTCGGGTTTTTATCCATTATTATTATTTTATCATTAAAATATTTTTTTCTTCATAATTCCACAGATTTGGCCAATTCAGCCACTTTAATCTTGATTTCACCAATTTTAGAGCGCGTCATCTACATAAAGTTCAGTCAATCCAGCCAGAGAAATAATTTCGACCTAACTTATTTTTTATTATTACAGAATTCAGAACACGAAATAAAAAATTACGTTTTCAGTGAAAAATTGACTAATAAGCTTAAAAACAAAATCACCAAATTGGCTCTAATATATTCAACAGATTTAATCAATTTTAATACAACCAAAGGATACTCTCATATTTGTTACGTAGTATTTGTTACTGTAAATTACGTAATTTTTGGAAAAACTTCTCCGACTTGTTAGCCTTCCCAATAGTTCCCCCCAATTGTGCATTTTGGGCAAAATTATAGCGCCAAATGAAAAATATCCCGCCCAGAGAAAAGCCCTAATTACGACCCACTCCGAACACAAAACCTCACTTTCTTCGCTGGTTTCATTGTGCTGACCGTGCATCAGAGAAAAAACCTTACTTTTGGAACAAAGCGTTATTTATGTAAATACTACGGAGTAGATAATTGGTCCCGTCTTGGGCAAGATTCCAAATTTTGATGTCTCCCCGGAGTTCTCCCTCGGACAAAGACGTTCCAGCAGCCGCGGACGCCGGCAAGTTCGAAACAAGGCGAAATGAATGCGCGAAATGCGACAGGCCGGTGAACGTTTGCTTATGCGCGTCAATTCCATCCGACCCGATTGCGACCCGGACCCGAGTTTTGGTCCTCCAGCACCCTCACGAACGCCGCCACAAGCTCGCCACCGTTCCTCTACTGTCCAAGTGCATCGCGAATTGCGAGGTCATTGTTGGACGGAGATTGCGATATGGGGTTTCGGAGGTCCTTGATAATCTCTATGACGATGCAATTGCAAACCCTAATATGCCCCAAAGAGCTGTTTTCCTCTTTCCTGGAACAGAAGCATCAGAGTCGTTGGAGATCAACCAGTGGAAATCATCAGCTAATTTTTTCGACAGAATCAACTATGTCTTATAGCTATTGACGGGACTTGGAAGCATGCTAAGGAAATGATTCGTTCTAGCTTAGATTTTTTTCAAAATTTGCAATCCAAGTTCATTTGAGTTACAATACTAGCATAGATGGTGGATCTATTTTCAATTCTGATTTAATTCTCAGAAAGGAACCGTTTAGTGGGTGTATGAGTACATTGGAGGCAGTAGCTCAATGCTTACAGGTTCTTGACCCAAATGGAGATGATATTGAAGAAATACTGCTCGAGGCCTTAAGGACAATGGTTACATTTCAGACTATGTATTTGAGGCCTATGAACAAACGACCTAGGTTGGCAAAAAAGAAAGGCAAAATATGATGTAGAAGCAACTTCGTGATGGTTAGCAAATAGTTCTTCCTTAAATGTATAATTTTATTTTGTTGTCCACAGTTTTGATCTGCTTTCTGCATTTATTTAATGACTAGAACAAAAAAATGTAAGGATTTGGTCAACATAGGCACCATTTCTGGAGGAAGGTTCGCTGTGCTTTGGTGATTGGTGCGCTGCACGCCTACACGCAGGTGACCTGGTGACACCGCACGCCTCAGCCTCACGAAGTCACGCCAGCACCCCCCCCCCCCCCCGTCTCGACGATTTCCTCCTCAATTCTCAGTTTCTCGATCCCCTTCAGGTACTCGGTGCTCTTCCTTATGCAGTCATTCCTTAACTCTTCCATTTATTAGTTCTTTAACTCATGGTTAATAAATTTTAAATTATAAATGATTAGTTGATTTTAGGATTTGTTGTCTGTTGATTAAATATTAGTTTCATATTCATAATTGTTGATTGTTAATTTGTTATCTATTGATTTGTTCTCTTGTCGATTAGTTCATTTATGTTGATCATTCTTGTTGACTAATTGAGTTTTAATACTTAAGTAAATTTTCAGTTATGCAATTATAAATTTGAATTTTGTGTTTGCTATAATTTGTTTAGTAAATTTTTTGAATTATAATTAAATTTATACAATGTGCTTAAGTAATATTTTATTATATTTTATTTTGCTTAACAGTGATCCTGCCATTATCCTTATCCTTCTTCACAAACTACAAACGAATGAAGAAGGTATGTAATTTTTTAGATGTTTTTTTGTTTTTCTTCTTATTGTTGGCTTTTTTGTTTATTCTTCTAAGTTTCTGTATGGTTAACAATTAAGTACATAATTATATTTTTAAAATTATAAAAAAAGTAACTTTAATCTGCTGGTGCAAGAGCAGAACCATCACACAAAGATTACTAGGAAGAACCTTTTGCAATGGATTCAAGACACAAAAACATGGTTCAAGTGAGCTGCCTTGTCTCATCAGTGAACTTGGAAATAACAAACAATTGAGATGAATTGCCAGGTTCCCTTAATTATAGATAGCTAAAATATATATAAAAGGCTGGCTGGCTATTCTCTGTTTAGTACCACCACCACTGATTTCCTTCACATTGTTTTTCTCCCTTTGTAGCCATGACTGACACTATGAGACCTTCCCCCTGGCAAATCCCTCTTTGAGTTGCTTGAGCAGATTTTGATCAGTGGGAAGCTTCAGGTTATCTTGAGCAGAAGTTTATTCTTCTCTAATATAGTTGACTTGAGATCTGCAAAGTATCACCTTTTTTATTCTCTTTCTTATTTACTATTTGGATTATTATGAACTTTATTCTTCTATGCTAATGTTTGAACATGGATTTGTAAGCAGAGTGTTTCGATTCAGCTCACAAACCAGCCTAAGGATGATAGAGAGTAGGCCTACACTCCTAAGGACTAAGGTAGCAGGCATTTTGATCTCATCTCTTTGTCACTCTAGAATTCATGCATATCCTGTGGTGTAGTTTTTTCTTTTAATTTTATGAGGTTATGCATGCTTATGGTTTTTGTTATATACAAAGATAAAATAATGCATATCAGGATACTGAACAATAGTAATTCCACTTTGTTTGGTTCACCAATATTTTTAAAGTAGCAACTAGCAATTTGTGTTATATGATTCCAGTTTTTTAGGACCTTGTAAACGGAAAATAAAAGATTGTAATTTGAATAGATTACAAATATTATGAACCTGGTTTTTAGATTTTGACTGGAATGGTAGCAAAAACTAAAAATTCTTTTAGTTTTTTGTGCAGTTTATTGGTATATGTTTCATTTTTCAAATGATGGATTTTATAAACATGTAAATGCTATTTGACTTGAATAATACATATTTATATGAGTTTCCAGATTCAGAGCTCATCCTTGCTGAGCCTCTCATTTGTCGCTCCATTTCTGTACGTTACTCCGGTATTGACAGGAAGGACAAAGATCTGCTAACGATGGACTATGTCTCGGATCAGAAGCTATCTGTATCGACCTGTAGTGAAAGTGCCATGGCCCTAACATCAACTCCTTTAAAAAGGGAGCTAACTCAACCGGAGATGTGGCAGCACAATACTGATGTAACTGTTGATGTCAAAGTTGATACAAAGTCAAACATCTCATTAACTCTGACTCTTGCCAACATTCTCCCATCAATCAAGGCCATTGCATCTCCGAAATTTCCTGATTATAATTCTGTCAAGTTGGATTTTGAGTATTTCCACCACTATGCGACCCTGGCAGCAGCTGTGTCTGCACTAAAACAGTCACCCAAAGTGGATCTTGCTATTACATTTGGCACTTCAACCTTTGTTGTTGGTGCTGAAGCTGGTTATGAAACCTCTTTTGGCAAATTGATTAAGACAGCGTTGGAGCAAACATAGAGGAATATTGAAAGCAAACATGGAGCAGAGCAATAGGCGAGGAGATATAGAAGATGAATTGGTGTTAAAATAGCTATAGCCTCAAATAATTGAAACATATAATCAATGTGTATATATAGTGTGAGAAAGGAACTAATGATATTACATTGTTAATGATGTGAATACTTCCATAGTTCCATTTATATATAAGTCAAAAAACTCTGTTGAATGAAATTTATTGTTTTTTATTTACACGATACTAGAATCCTTGTATTATGTGTACCAGGTGTATGTAATTATAAATACCAAAATATTAGATGTATTATCAGTAATAATTATTGCATGACGGCTGTCACCAATCACCATGATGATTATTATCCACATTTTTTAGCCTCTAAAACATTCACAACAAAAAATGCATTGCCACTACTAGATCAAGGTTGCTTCTAATTATATTTCGAGACTACAATTAGTTGCCTCAAATTATATTTTGGGGCAATATAATATGGTTGTCTCAAATTATATTTTGGGTAATATAATATGGTTGTCTCAAATGATGTTTTGGGACAAGATAGTATGGTTGCCTCTAAACGTGTATCATTTAGAGTCACATCTTTGGTTGCCTCTAAAGGTATCTTTAGAGGCAATTCTCATTTAGGGACGAATTAATTAGAGGCACCCTAGCGTCAACCAAAAAATTACCTCTAATAACAATTAGAGGCTACTTTGCTATATATAGAGGCAACTTTCTCCCGCCTCTATAAATCATTTTTCTAGTAGTGAACCTTTTAGTTTTCCTGGAGTTTTTTGTTATATATACCGTTACTAATTAATTTTATGTAAACATATATAATATATAGGCGTTGTTTTGAAAGTCCACGGGTCCCGGGACCCCATGCAAACTCATATGGTCCCATTTTTGACATTATTGAGCTAAATAATGGGAGTGAGGTTTCTTTTATAATTATGCACCGTGTAATTTATTGGGACAACCCTACAAATATTAGATATCAATAATATGATGTAGAAAGTTGACTTGGTCTAAATAAATTGGAATGGGTACAAAAAGGCATCTTATGACAAAGGATAAAACATTAGGACTCATCTTTCCATTTCTGGAAGTATTGGTTGATATTTTGGACCCAAAATTAATTGGGATCACTTGGAAACCACCCCACATCTTCTTGGCACCTGCAAAATGAAGATAGTAAGTTAAAAATTAAGTTTGGGGCGGACAAAAGGGAGGGGGATGAGCAAACATTATTTGAGAACGGAGACAAGACCAGCAAATTACAGTCCAAGTAAAAACATCCAAAATGTTACATAATAAAATGTTACAAGAATAATAATAATAAAAATAAAAATAATAATAATAATAATAATAATAATAATAATAATAATAATAATAATAATAATAATAATAATAATAATAATAATAATAATAATAATAATAATAATAATAATAATAATAATAATAATAATAATAATAATAATAATAATAATAATAATAATAATAATAATAATAATAATAATAATAATAATAATAATAATAATAATAATAATAATAATAATAATAATAATAATAATAATAATAATAATAATAATAATAATAATAATAATAATAATAATAATAATAATAATAATAATAATAATAATAATAATAATAATAATAATAATAATAATAATAATAATAATAATAATAATAATAATAATAATAATAATAATAATAATAATAATAATAATAATAATAATAATAATAATAATAATAATAATAATAATAATAATAATAATAATAATAATAATAATAATAATAATAATAATAATAATAATAATAATAATAATAATAATAATAATAATAATAATAATAATAATAATAATAATAATAATAATAATAATAATAATAATAATAATAATAATAATAATAATAATAATAATAATAATAATAATAATAATAATAATAATAATAATAATAATAATAATAATAATAATAATAATAATAATAATAATAATAATAATAATAATAATAATAATAATAATAATAATAATAATAATAATAATAATAATAATAATAATAATAATAATAATAATAATAATAATAATAATAATAATAATAATAATAATAATAATAATAATAATAATAATAATAATAATAATAATAATAATAATAATAATAATAATAATAATAATAATAATAATAATAATAATAATAATAATAATAATAATAATAATAATAATAATAATAATAATAATAATAATAATAATAATAATAATAATAATAATAATAATAATAATAATAATAATAATAATAATAATAATAATAATAATAATAATAATAATAATAATAATAATAATAATAATAATAATAATAATAATAATAATAATAATAATAATAATAATAATAATAATAATAATAATAATAATAATAATAATAATAATAATAATAATAATAATAATAATAATAATAATAATAATAATAATAATAATAATAATAATAATAATAATAATAATAATAATAATAATAATAATAATAATAATAATAATAATAATAATAATAATAATAATAATAATAATAATAATAATAATAATAATAATAATAATAATAATAATAATAATAATAATAATAATAATAATAATAATAATAATAATAATAATAATAATAATAATAATAATAATAATAATAATAATAATAATAATAATAATAATAATAATAATAATAATAATAATAATAATAATAATAATAATAATAATAATAATAATAATAATAATAATAATAATAATAATAATAATAATAATAATAATAATAATAATAATAATAATAATAATAATAATAATAATAATAATAATAATAATAATAATAATAATAATAATAATAATAATAATAATAATAATAATAATAATAATAATAATAATAATAATAATAATAATAATAATAATAATAATAATAATAATAATAATAATAATAATAATAATAATAATAATAATAATAATAATAATAATAATAATAATAATAATAATAATAATAATAATAATAATAATAATAATAATAATAATAATAATAATAATAATAATAATAATAATAATAATAATAATAATAATAATAATAATAATAATAATAATAATAATAATAATAATAATAATAATAATAATAATAATAATAATAATAATAATAATAATAATAATAATAGTAATAATAATAGTAATAATAATAGTAATAGTAATAGTAATAGTAATAATAATAGTAATAATAATAGTAATAATAATAGTAATAATAATAGTAATAATAGTAGTAATAATAGTAGTAATAATAGTAGTAATAATAGTAGTAATAATAGTAATAATAATAGTAGTAGTAATAATAGTAGTAATAATAATAATAATAATAATAATAATAATAATAGTAATAATAATAGTAATAATAATAATAGTAATAATAATAGTAATAATAATAGTAATAATAATAGTAATAATAATAATACTAATAGTAATAGTAATAATAGTAGTAATAATAGTAGTAATAGTAGTAGTAATAGTAGTAGTAATAGTAGTAATAATAGTAATAGTAATAGTAATAGTAATAGTAATAGTAATAGTAATAGTAATAGTAATAGTAATAGTAATAGTAATAGTAATAGTAATAGTAATAGTAATAGTAATAGTAATAGTAATAGTAATAGTAATAGTAATAGTAATAGTAATAGTAATAGTAATAGTAATAGTAATAGTAATAGTAATAGTAATAGTAATAGTAATAGTAATAGTAATAGTAATAGTAATAGTAATAGTAATAGTAATAGTAATAGTAATAGTAATAGTAATAGTAATAGTAATAGTAATAGTAATAGTAATAGTAATAGTAATAGTAATAGTAATAGTAATAGTAATAGTAATAGTAATAGTAATAGTAATAGTAATAGTAATAGTAATAGTAATAGTAATAGTAATAGTAATAGTAATAGTAATAGTAATAGTAATAGTAATAGTAATAGTAATAGTAATAGTAATAATAATAATAATAGTAGTAATAATAGTAATAATAATAATAATAGTAATAATAGTAATAATAATAATAATAGTAGTAATAATAGTAATAATAATAATAATAGTAATAATAGTAATAATAATAATAATAATAATAATATTTTTTTTTATCATCAAAACATGCCGCTATTCATATCAAAAGATTCATCAGGATCATTACATCAAACAAAGGGAAAATAAAACAGACACCAACTGAAACTCCAACAACTACGACTGTAACCCTATGGTGAGACTTTGAGACGATCACCCCTGAGAGAGCAACATGAATCGCTAACCATGTAGTGGGCTTAACACAGCCAAAACTATTCCCATAGATCCAACCATACCTAATGACATAAAGAGAGGCAAAAAACTCAAACAAACTGTCAAACCCAACAACAAAAATGGACGCAAGAAAACAAATAACAAACAGATAAAAACTACAAGAAAAACGTTCACGAACTCTAGCACCTCGTGCATCCCATGATGGTGGTTCAGGAGGAGGTCGTACCACTGGTACCATGCTAATTGATCCTCCATGACCTTTGGCTGCCAAAGACCATGCATCAATCCTCCGTCCGTGCATAACCAAACTCATCCATGCTCCGTGCGACCAGAGTAAGCAGACAGGCGTCGCCGATCTTCTCCAACGACGACAGCAACGCCGCATCCTCGAACCTTGACCACAGCGCCGATCTCCTCGAGCCATGACAACAAATCTGTCCTCCTCCACCGATCTCCGCCCTCCGCGTCTGACCTGGACTCCAGTCGAGCACCAGCGACCAAGGGATAACAAAGCCGATCTTCGATAAAGTCGAAATCGGAAAAAGGCTCCAGCGGCCGACATAGTCAAAGCCCTAGAGTAAAAAATTTGTGATCGCTCTACCTTAGCCCTCGACTCTGAAGAAACAATCTGCCTGAATATGAAATTGGAAGAGATTTTGTGATTTGGGTACGGTGGATAAGAAATCTAATAATAATAATAATAATAATAATAACAACAACAACAACAACAACAACAACAACAACAACAACAACAACAACAACAACAACAACAACAACAACAACAACAACAACAACAACAACAACAACAACAACAACAACAACAACAACAACAACAACAACAACAACAACAACAACAACAACAACAACAACAACAACAACAACAACAACAACAACAACAACAACAACAACAACAACAACAACAACAACAACAACAACAACAACAACAACAACAACAACAACAACAACAACAACAACAACAACAACAACAACAACAACAACAACAACAACAAC